TCTCTTTTGCTGGATTAAATATATGTATTATTTTTCTCCTTTTTCAGCCATGACCTTATTGGCATATTTTCCACTACGCTACGTGAGCTTACTACAAATACAAATATAACATTCGAGGTGAGTTTTAATAAGTTAACAAAGGCATTACATTAAAAGTAAGTATACATAAAATGATACTGCGTACAGTCAACTCTCGCTATTACGGACACCCTTGGGACCGTAATTTAGATGTCCGCTGCAGCGAGAGTCCGTAGTAACGAGAGTTACTTTCAGTCATTTCTTTTTATTTTTCGCCGGGGATTCAGTATTTTACTGTCCGCAATATCGAGGTGTCCGTTGTAGCGGGGTGTCCGTGAGGCGAGGGTTGACTGAATATACTTKATTGTATTAACGAGACTATCATTTTTCCTGCCTTTTTAGTTAATACACCCAGGAAAGAAAGCAAAGAAGAAGAGTTACAAGAACTCAGGAACGGTAAACATACTGCGCTTTTTGCAACACAAGAACAGACTCAGTTTTGAATCTTTTACGTCACCTACGTAACTTGCATTGCATTGTGGGATCAGTTTCTAGAAAGAAGAACAAGGAAATCCGCCATGTTTTATTCTAAACATATCCTACAATGCATTGCGTATACAGTATGGCGTAAAAGCTTCAGAGGTCTATTGTGGAGTCTTAGGATATTTATTATTTTTGAAATTTATATTTCTAGATCTCAATACTTCACTCAAAAATTGAACAGCAACCAACATTCTTGGATTATATCAGAGGAGGGTAAGAAGCAGTATTAAAAAAAAATCGTGAGGATCCATTTTCATGCATGATTTCCTCGTGTTTCTTCAATTAATTGGGTAGTAATTATCATTTTTATTTTAGAGTACAGATCAATTTTATTGTTGCAATCGACTTTACTGCTTCAAATGGTGAGCTAAATATAGTAAAGGCTGCAAACCCCGTTACACTAAAAAAAAAAAAAACAAATTCCGCGTTAGAAACCCTGTTAATATGCTGAAAATATAATGTCAGACCTTTCCCGAATTCGCTTGGATGATCATCGAAGAATGGTCTCAAGTCGAGACATTGTTTCGTGTTTATTCAGGCGAATTCGGGGGAAAAGCTCTATTCAATTACATGATATTTACAGAGTGTGTAAATATCCTATGCCCAAAACTATTTGTAAAAATACGCTGTAAATTCCATTTATGGGATATTTACATATCGTATTTCCAGCAAATTTACAGGTTTCACAACACAACCGTTTTTCATTGTTTCTCGTTTCAGCACATGCATTGTTATATAGATAGATCTTTCTTTGAGTCAATGAGCTTGCGATCGGTCCTCTGAATTTAAAACTTAATTAATGAAATCAGGGCAAAGTCCATCCACACGTTTAGGCGACTTTCAGTATGGATCCCTAAGCTCTCTTATTCAGAGCTTCATGGAGCCTACTGCTATCACATTAGCGGTAAATTCTGATACAGCTATTTCAAGAAATGTTGTGGGGGAGAACGGCGAACGACGATTGTTGAAGGGARATWGCACTATACTGAAAGGGACGACGGTTACACTGTTTTGATAAACAAAATTTCACTTATTGGATTCACCCTACATAGAATTGGAGACAAAAAGGAGCCAATGTTTACCACATACCATCTTAYAGTACAAATCAGTTGTTATTTCATTTCACCAAGCGAAACCCATGACTACTTTCAGTCGTGCAATCGCCGTTCGACAATAGACATTCGCCATTTTATCCGACATTCAACCTTTTTTGAAATAGCTGTATACACTAATCTTTATGAAGAGCAATCTTCACCAAGTGTTTTATAATTGTGGTTATGGACTGTTGMACCACTGATTGAATGACCTTTTCTAGGTGACCCTCGTAACAGCAACTCATTACACTACTTAAACCCATACGAACCCAATTTATACGTCAAGGCATTAACTTCAGTGGGTGCAATATGCGAGGACTACGACACGTAAGTTATGTTATTCGATTAGTTTAATTTAATAAATACACGCCCATAGCCAAGGGGATAGCACAAGGTTCATGCAAAAGGAAAAGAACGCATTAAAGTAAAACCTTGATGTATAGTTTAAAACACGATCTCGAGTGTTTTAAACGGCTTAAAAAACTCCAACAYTAATTTGAAACTCAAATCCGTTAAAATTCTAGGAGACATTGCCGTACAAATATGTTCAGAGATAAATGGGGCAAACTGATCATGCGCGAATCACTTTACAAAGCACTCTTTTCATCCCACATTGAATACGCATAAAGTAAAATAGAACCGCTCTTGGCTGTTCACTGAAATCGGTTGACATCCTGCATTGGTCAATGATCAGGTTTCAAACCTGAGACCTTTGCTAGGGTCATGGACCTTTATATCTGATAAAGGTCACCCTTATTAGTATTCTTTATATAAAGAATACTAATAAGGAGTGTTTTATCAGATATAAAGGTCCATGCATGTGACCAAATAGGCTCATTCTATTGGCCTAGTACCTCATTAATTATGTATGAGTTTTTTAAGCATAATAAACTTCTTGTGTGACCTTATCCCAATTTTCAGAAAGCTTTCTGATCAATAAATTAATAATTCTGCAGGTTCCTTTAGTTAATGTTCACAGTTCCGTCTTGCTTTTGAGCACTCTTCCGCAAAATTCCAATCAGTCCATGTATTGATCAACAGTTTCTAATATTTTATTTGAACCAGCGACAAGATGTTTCCAGCTTTAGGATTTGGTGCTAGAATACCACCGAATTGGACAATATCACATGAGTTTCCCTTGGTGAGTAGTGTACAACGTGTATTTTCAATTTTTCTGTTTCAGTTTTTTTTTTTTGGAACATTTTCCCGGTCAAAAGAACGCTTTTAATCTCTTATTCATTAGATTTGAGGCTCTCTTTCCTTTGTTGTAGAATGGACTGCCACAAAACCCTTTCTGCGATCGAGTCGAGGGTGTGATCGCGGCATACTTTCAGAGTATACAGAGTGTACAATTATACGGTAAGAGCAACTGCCTTTTTTAYTTGACTCCGTTCACCTCTATTCTGAAGCGTTTGGCTCCATTCTCATAACGAATTTACTTTGCAGGACCAACAAACTTTGCGCCCGTGATACGAAAAACAGTCGGGTCAGTGGCTGTCGATTCAATCACTGTCATCTATATCATGCTGACCTATGGTTTTTTCATTTATTTATAGCATTGCAAAACATAGCGAGCATCAAAAGCCAGGGCAAGAGTAAGTAGCAATCAATGGTCTTATCAACTACAATGACATTGATATTTCTCAGAAGAAACCATGATGTTTACCCTACATTGTCATAACTGCGATAACTGAAGTTATTCGTTCTAGAATGATATCGCCCCATTTTGGCACTTGATAATTTGTTTTTCTTCCAAGTATCGCCACAAAAATTGTCTCTAGTGAATCGGCCTTGAATGGATGTCAGGGTATGCAGAGATCTTTTGATAGCCTTGTGTTTGTATTCTCTTAAGGTACTTTGTTTTGCTAATACTGACTGATGGTATTATATCGGACATGGAGCAAACAAAAGCAGCCATTGTTGAGGTATTTATACACCTTATTCCAAAATGGCTGACTAGCCCTTGATGTCTGTTTTTTTTTCATGAAATTGTTTTTTTCTTTTGAAGTCACTCAAGCTCAAAGACAAAAGAATAATTTTATGAAAACGAGACATCAATGTGTATTGTTTCTAATCATTAAACGCAACAATTCGCGCAACAGTGTTGCTGTTCAAGTTAAGCTTCAGTCTTTCTACTTTTCCAATGCCTGTTTTTTGTTGCACATCAAGTTGTCAATGTTTAGGCGAGTCGAAAAACGAGACACAAATCTTAACTTCGTCAACCTTGAACAAGAGCAATGTTGATGACAAGTCGAATGTTTTTGGATCCCGTTTTTCTTGGCCTTAACATGTTTCCTAGAGGGCGATGAAATTCTTTTTTTCTTCACGTTTTAGGCTGCTTCACTTCCCGTGTCAATTATCATCGTAGGRATTGGYCCTGCTGAATTCGATGGTAAGCACTATGAAAGAATATCTAATAATAAATATATCCTAACGTGCTAACCTATACCAACGCCCGTAGATCGGTATAGAAATGCTTTAAATTAAGGTTTCTGTTGTGTTTAGCAATGGAAGAGTTGGATGGWGATACTGTTCGGTTATCATCACGTGGTCGGTACGCTGAGAGAGATATTGTACAGGTTTGTCACAAACTTTCTWATAATCTCTCTTTATTTTATGCTTGTATTTTATCAAAATATCGGCCTTACATTACCGTTTTGAGTTTGCTTTGCTTGCCTCGTCGTACACCGATATCATCTGAAGTACGAAACTTTCGTATGACAGCTGTTTCTCTATGTAYCAAAAAATTGATAAGTTTAGAAGATTATGAAAAGAGTGCGAATAAGTTTTAGATAGATAAGCTATCAATTTTTGCCCATCCCTCTGTTTCTGTCCCATGTTGCCCGGCAACGGTTATCATACAGACAATCTTGACATCAATAGCCTTTTATGCGAGGAAGCTCCTGATGTGACGCTGGCTAGACATCAAATGATATTCAACGAAAAGAGCGCAGTAGACAAAACTCTGATTTGGAATCGGCCAATTTTGTTTACCTAACAACGAGAAAGCAATAGAGGTTTCATCATTAGAGCGCTCACACAATACTGCAGTTCCCATRCATAACCAAAAGGGGTTATTTAGACAAATGGAATTGTACATCTGTTGGAAAAATGAATTTTTTGATGAGGAGTTTTAGCTGAAAAACTATCGCGAAACAGAGAATTTGCCGCGCTTTTCTTGAAGTGAGTAATTCCGTACAAAAGACAAAGACACCTCAATATCCTATTATTCCACTTCCCCAAGAAGACTTACAGTACGGTGACGCCGACAGTCTCTCAAAAGGCCGTAATCCAGGCTGTAATAGATCGCAACTGGAGAGTAGTGCACTTGCAAATTGATAAGTTTATTGAACCAAGTGATGTTATGATTTCTGCTCATTTATAGCTTCTTTGTCAATAAATTATGTCCAAAACGCGGTCATGTTTCGTTATCAAAAGCTCACCTTTTCTACAAATTATTTTTCTGCTTGCAGTTCGTTCCGTTTCGTGATTTTCTTACCAGAGGCTCTATAGCACAGGATCTTCTTGCTAGAGAAGTGTTGGCGGAGGTTCCTGATCAGTTGCTTCTATACATGAAAAATAGAAACTTCAAACCCAAACCTCCTCGGCCCCTTAGAGTGAATGACGTTGCCCCCTTTGTTGGAAATCTGACCAATAGTAATCCGCCTTATCCTGTGAATTAACCACGTATGGATATTAAACAATTGTGAATTGCTCATTAGTTATCGTACGCTCAATCGCTTAAAGCAGCCCTCTACCCGAATAAGGAATATATGATTATCTTATGTGGCATTTAAGGTGGCTCCTACGCAACGTTTTATGAAATAAAGTGTGTTTTTTTCCTTTGGTACGCAAAAGACTGACTGTGTATGAATCACCTTTGCAACTTTGATTGAAAAGTGGATATGGAACKTCCGCTTGACTGTATACAATACGATAGATGATCTATTTTTTTATATATGCCGAATAAGAGTGAATAAATATTTACGTTAACTGACAAATTGCGTAAATTTACGCTGAATGAAAAGTTTTCTTGGTATAATCAATTCAATTGATTTATTAATTAAATGCATTCCAATTCGAGAAGAAAAAAGTCTGTGAAAAGAATCATGAGTCCATCACACGAAAGGCTGAACTAAAAGACAATGAAGTATATTGTTCCCTCGCTCGATATTTATAAATTGGAATTTCATTTTTAATCCCTCTCCTTATCAAGTTTATAATACTCCAGTTCCAAGCGGCATCTTGAAAGGTAACCAAGCCTTTGCATCAAAGCGAGACAGGAGTTGAGCCTGCAGTGATAAATACCTTTTGTTCACACCTTAGACAATTATTCACAGGTATCTATCATTGCAAGCTCTACTCCTGTCTCGCTTTGATGAAAAGGATCGGCTACCTCTCAAGATGGCTCTTTGAACTGTATAAAAATATGGAATATAACCAGGCGTGTAGCGTTAACTTTTTGGCTAGTACGCACATGTCAGGGACCGCAACACATATTTTGGATATGGACGATATGGGGGTCTAACGACAGCCAAAGACGGGAGTATTAAGGGAGTCTGAACCTCCCCCAGGAAATTTTAAAATAATAACTCTTGGAAATGCGATTTCYAGCGTTTTGAGAGACATCGAGGGCATGTAAAAGTAATCAATTTTATGTCAATTTTTCACAGTAATTTTTGTAAAAATTTTCCTTGGCACTAGTACGTACGTGCGTATACGTAAAGGACGCTACGCGCCTTATCCGTGGCATCATTCCCATGCTTACGTCTTTGTAAAGCTACAATTGTAGCCACTTTGAAGGAACATTTGTTTAGATTGTGTGGAAATAAAATTGCTGTTAAACTATATTCTTTGTTGTCTTTCAGTTCGTGCCTTTTCGTGACTATCTCGGTAAGGGATCCACTGGGAACGTCCTTAGTGGTGCTCGCTTGGCAAAAGATGTCCTYGAAGAACTGCCAGATCAATTCCTTGAATACATGAAAAAGAGGGGCTTTAARCCTCACCAACCTCAATAGAACTTGAATTGTTCCTTGGGAGTGATTCGTTGTAGAAGGCGCGCTTTGATTATCACGAACCTCGAATTCCTTTTTATTACTCGTGTAAAAAGGCGTAAAACCTTCTCTCCTCCATAGAACCTATTATCCTTTTTCATGAAATACTTGATATATAACAGTGTTTTTATTGCCGCGTTTATATGAAAGGTGTTCGTCGGGAATTTTTTAATAAGGATATATACTCTTTTATCAAGTAATTATAAAACGAGCTTTTTGTATTTTCTTTCACTCCTTGRCGTGATGGCATATCACTAAATGATTGTTAATAAGGAGACATGATATGAGAATTCATGAAAGAAAGCTGTAGCAAACATAAATGTATTATATTAGCGCTCCTTGGAAACAATATGCAATGGTTAAACTTACTAGTACTTAATATGTAAAACAAACAAGCAAAATACCGTAATTAAGTACTAATTAAACCTTTATTTAATAACAATATTTTACCCACATGTGGTTTTAACTTATTATTAGTAGTAGTCTTGTGTATGTTTTCATACACTTTTGATTAGTTTAAGTGGATTCAGCAGCTTTGTGATCAAAGCCAAGGTTTCTATCTAATGGAGATGCATTGGGCGGCAAACCGCTTCTAACTAGAGGCTTCATCATYAGTTCCATCTTCTTGATKAGCGAAAGTTTCTTTTTCTTTAATCTGAACAGTTTAATTGCTCTTGAAATCATTGGGGTAATGCCAGGCCGCGGAATAGCTTGCAGTCTCTTCCTACTGTAGCCTATAAAGATTGAATGGGGTTAAAAATGAGTGTTAGGGTATAAGATTTTGTTGGATGGGACTTTGGTGATTAAAGAAAAAAAAAAAGAATTAATAACTGCAGAGCGCAAATAGAAGTCTGTACTGGAAAATATATATTCATAGAATAAACTATTTTTATTTTCTTTCTTTCTTATTGTTAACTAAACGTTTTGTCATTTTGTTTGMATTTTGTATACCTCGTAGATGTTTATAGATATTGTTCACTTGTGTGTCATTGATTGCTCGGTATTCAACACGCTTTCCTCCAGGTAGATTGCTATTGTAAAGGTAGTATTTTGCAAGCTTTCCAGCTACAGCCATTGGTGTGGTTATGTTGGTGAAATATACTGTTCGATGATCGTGGCTATTATCTTGCCAGTCTTCCCAAATCTTGAAAAAAGATGACAAAAAGCAGTTCATTCTAAAATTACTAAAGGCTTTTTTACGCATTTATGAATAATTAATAAAGTTAAATTAATAAGTAAAAAAATCGCTATCGTTATTTGATTTTGAAATGTATTCCAGCACCTCAACTTCTGAAGTTCTTCCTCAATCATCCACATTACAAAAATTGTTTTCAAGCACTCAAATCAAATAAAAAGGTCTTTATGTGGAGCTAAAAGTCAAAACAACTAGAAGCRGRCAAAAGAAACTCRGCTTTACCTCGAGATGTCATTGACCTATTTATCAGAATTAGAAGATATTTCTCTGTTAGAAACACTTGGGATTGGTAGGAGAAGACGACAGAAGGTTTAAATTATAAGCTGGAACAACAACKCATCGCCTGAAAGCCGTGTTTTGTAAGCTCACATGTTTATGCAAACTTCAGCCAATCACAAAGCGCAAATAGGTCTTTTGCATGAAACGGTCACATAGTACAAAATCCGCCAAACTGGAATGCAAAGGAATGTAAACAATAGGCCATTTGCATGATGGCGTAACTTTACTACAACTACCAGAAAGCCTTGCRCATTTTCTTTGTTATTCAGATTTTTAATCCCCTTAGCGATTAGTAAAACAATTGGCACTAATTGCATTACAAAAGAAAGTGGGCAAAGCATTCTGGTAGTTGTAGTAAATGACGCCATAATGCAAATCGCCTATTGTACCTCAAAAACAAAAGGAACGCAGCCTGTCAAGCTTGACTATTCTTTGTTTTGCACATCTCAATGGGTATTTTGCCATCCAGTATGGCGGATTTTGTACCATGTGACCGTTTCATGCAGAAGGCCTATTATTTTGATTGTTATTTTATGACGATCGCATTTGGTTTATAATTTCAAACATCACACTCCATTTCACCTTGTCAACCGCTGCATGAAGAAGGAAAAATTCCGGAGCCGAAGCAGCATCTATTGAGCACATGGTTCCGCCAATCATRCAGTGGACATTGTCATGGAAAAGGCCACTCAACGAAGCCTCGAATGTAAAGAATTCTGTATGTGAAAGACCTAAGAGCATGGCCAGCTCAACTTCTCCTGGGGCTTTATCAAAGACATAGAAGTCTCTTTTCAGACATCTTGGTGGATCAACAGAAGGAACGAGTTGCCACACKGATTTTCTGAAAGGMCCTGTTTTAACGCATCGGTCTGRCRGTACACCGTTACCACCAAAGCCACTGCTTCCAGAATACCATAGATCTCTAAAAGAGATTCCAAATAGGTTGCCARCGTATGCAACATAGTCCCAGTATGCAACGGTAAACCGACAGTCGACTTTGCGAAGCAAATCTTCGTATTCCAGGAGAAACCAACGATGCCATGGAAGGAATTGCTCYGTCTCGTGGATTCCGTGAATGAAATAATCTTTGTGAATGGTTATAAGGGAGTCGTACTGAGGTTTTATACTATAGACATAACAATTTAGTGAATTAGCAGGCATTGTTATTATATATAGTTTACAACACGAGAGGAGTGTTTTGTCAGGTACTGAAGATTCGAGGCAATAATTTTCCATTGTGTTAACCTTATGAATTAYTAGTGAATTGAATTTGATAAGAAATAAATAAATTAAAAATACCAACCTTGGATGAGTAGAAGCATACTTGACAATCTCAATATATCTCTTTCGTTCTCGGTAGGTCATCGTGCTAAACTCTTTCCTCACGCGTGTACACTTTGTTAGTCTTCCAGAGGAAGAGCAAACGCACCGGTCTCCACACCTATTATACACCGCACTTCCCCTGATACATGCATCTGTGGGAGAAAATCATTAACTGCAATAGCACCACAAGGTCGGGTGGACTACGAGCTCAGTGATGATACTCCATGGGGGATCTACTCGGACAAATGGAATATTGAAAACGCAATTCACGAGACCGTTCAATGCGACCATGGTATATCATACAAATATACCATAGTTCAGAAGCCAATCAGAATGCTGGATTTGGAATAGGCCATTGTTGATTGGTGGATATAAATTAGGCATAGTATCATACTGCTATTCTACTGTCAGTCATCTTTGATAGAATCTGAAGCGACTAACTAAATATGCTAAATCTTCAAAGAAGTAAAGAATTATTATAATTATTTGAATGTGCTAAATGATTTGGAACCTCACACTGTCCATAATTCAGTGTGCACAGTTTTTAACAAACAGAAACTTCTTTGAAAGCCTGGGCTCCCTTCAGTCGATAGAAAGTGAATCAAAGACAAACTTTTTTCCTCGGTGTCCATGTCTTTAATAAGTTATAAAATCAGAAGTATACTTACAACACCTCCTTGAGCGACATCTCCGCTTTTGCACGCTTACTCCATAGCAATGGCCCAATGGACTTTTTAGTGGCAGAGCAAGTGGAACTTGAGGATAACAAGATCTTGTTCGAACACGGTAGGCATAACCACATGTTTTTGAACATGGACCCCACGGCCCCCAAGGACCCCACGAATATTTCGCTTGAATATGAATGTAGAATGATTATTTGACTGTCTAGACGATCTTAATCCGTGAAAGAAAGATTACAAATTACTACTAATAAATATTAATAAAAAAATTAGCATAATTTATATTAAGAGTGAAGTCAAAAAAATCGTAAAATAGACATTGCACTAATACACCTTATTAGCTGTAAGTCTAGTGTTTTATTTTGTGTCTTTTTGACTGTCAGACTTTAATAGTAACATTTAGTTTCACGGTTTTAATAAATTCACTTTATATAATTCACGGGTGGAGTACACCTAATTTCAAAAGTTTTGTCAAAGAAAATTAATTTTGTACTTTAGTAAAAATAATTATTATTATATTAGAAGACAAAACAGCGTTCGACCTGAGTGACTTTTTCTTTTTTCTTTTTCTTTCTTTCTCTTTTTTCGCTAATTTTATTCATATATTCCTTTTCATATTTCTTATTAAGAAAGAATAAATTTTCTATTTCTATAGGAAAACACGTGCAATTCGCTGAGCTGTATGACTACTCTATCATCAAGATTAATTTGTGCTAGAAAATTATGCTGTTGTGTCATTATCGGGCGACGGTCGCCACTGTTGCACCTGAAATGGCAGGTGAAACCACCCGGCGATTATCGCGTCGATTGTCGCGCGACATTCATCGCGCTATTGTTGAATATTCTWACTAGTATTAAATAGGCAACTATAATATATCAAACTTTCATTCTCTAAAGGATATACACATCGTAAAGAGTACGGATAAAACAAAACTTGTCCCATTCAAGGTAGAAAGGCAAATTGATCAAAAAGGAGAAGATTATTTTCCAAAGCGAATGTCTTAAATTTACATTAAATTAACTCACCTTTTGCGTAAAAAGTGTGGTCAATACAAMAAATAGCATTTTGACTTCAGTAAATGTTTTGATATGTCCRCCGCCTCGATATTTTATGAGCTGGTGAACTAGCTAGTTAWTCAGTCAAGAAAGTTAAATGGTCTAGTTTACCTTTTTGTAGAGTAGCCACATTGTCAACAGTTTGTAGTTGACATTGGATACATCCAAACAGCAACACAGAACTGAACGTAATCAAGGCAACAGCCATTCGTGAAACTACAAAAACATATCGTGTCAAGGCATGAAATATTTTTTCCCAGAAGCTAGCGCCGAAGCCAGTCACATGTTAACTCAATGCAAATGAGCAGTAAGTTACTCGTATTGTATTGGCACCCTTCAAAATTGGCGTTCAAAAATTTAAAGGCCTGCACAGCTGTGGTTCAAAAGATCGATATCGCCTTTTTTTGATAATCAATTTAGCTTCCAAAGCATTTAAACGAAATACATGAATAAAAACGTGTTGCACACGGCAGTTTTCCCAAGAAAACATTAGTGAATATTACAATTACAACCCAATAACCATAATACCTCAATAACCATAATACMTTTGGGTCGTTTAGTGATAACGTGTTCAAATACTTGTTTCCTCGTGTAGCTGTTGGCGAAGTCAGAGACGGATTTCCCCCCCGTGTAATTTTCTTATGTATTAGTACATATAAGAGTTTTTTTTCTGCTGTTTATACTCCTGTTGTTCTTTTATCRAGAAAACGARTAGYATACACAACAYGTGTCTGCCACTATGCTRCTTAACAACCTATTTGAGTATAGTGTAGTCAAAGATACGTTACAATAAAAGTCAATTTGCTTCCGGTCAAATTGTGCATAATTTTCTTGCTCYAGACAATACGCAGCTAACAAAAATGATCAGTTCCATCTGCTARACTTAGTTTTTAGCTATAYAATACTTACTAAAGCAGCCCGCACCCGTCCCCCTTAGAAAATGCTGGTCGCACCTGGAAGTAGTTGCTCCAATGGCTCCTCTTTTACAGTAGACGTAGGAGGACTGTYAATATAKCTATTTGTGTRTTTGAAAAACGGCTTCCTCCATTTRACTTTTTTGTGTTTACTCTATGTAAGTAGGGCTCAACCCACGCTACTCTTCACTAGGCAACCTTAATTGATTGATTACTTGTTAATTTATAACTGAGACAAGCTGGAACAAGACAGTGTGTCAAAGACATTGGTATATATTATTAATTCATTGTAGCATTTCATTTTCCACGTTACTAAAGATATGAAATTGCCCAAATGTTCACGACCACATGTTGTTACACCCTTTTACACAAAGGAAAAAGAGTATCATTTTATTTTCCATGCCTTTATTTATGATATACTGTGTGCTCACATTAAAGAAGAGCTCCCATGTTTTAAAACCAAGCCATTTTTGGTTCTTTTCTCCAAGAAAAAACTTCCATTCCATTTCCCAACCGAATAGTTAAGGTACAAACGCCGGCATATGTTCACGGCATCAAAGACGAGCCCCAGGCTATGTGAAGACTACAAGTGTAAAGCCGACAAGTCTGAATTATATTGTAAACAAAGCAAATATGTCTTAATCTGGCTACTATACTGGTTATAATCTAAGACGAAAGGTACTCTCCGATCTTGCTGAACTCATAAAAATAAACATACTTCATGACTACTTTGACTTACATGTCATGAAACACGAACTACGAGAGAGTTAAGGGTGCATTTATATATTTTCTTCAATTAATGTATTTCAGTCCACACTTAAGGCTCTTTTATTGTACATCATGTAATCAGGAAATGAATACTTATTCTGCCAAATAATTAAGATTTTTAAATATTTATTATATTTAGAATTTTATTAGTCTTGTTTTGCTTTTAGTAACTGCTCGATAGGGTTTTTTTCTCGTTATTTCAACTTAAAGTTTACTGATAAGTCTCCCTTGATAAAGATAATTTTTTATGGTCATCTAAAATTTTTGAATTTGAACTTTCAAAATGATTTGGTCAGGTGGCATTGGAGAATTTACACTGATACCATCGACCTTTCCTCCTCTCGTGCAACAATTTGAAAAAAGTTGAAATTCGCTTCTGACAATTCAAAATTAATGATTTTTTTTCCTTCGTTCATTACCAATGGAAAGCATGACCGATTTCTAAGTCATGTAAAATGTACAAAAATAACTTTCAGAAATTCAGTTACTATTTCCAAGCTATGCGTAGGCCGTTCCGCTACGCAGAGTACTTTGTAATATTCTGAGACGCGTACACTAGAGGACTTTGAAAAGTATGATTTCAAGTACTCCAAAAGTTATTACTGATCTGTCACAGATAAAATTCCAACTCTATTTACTAAAGATTACATTGGTATGCACATTTTGTTTTTCTTGGAAATTGTTATTTACGGGGTCTTTAGTTTAGGTAGTTTTAGGCCGACAATGAGGTCCGCGCAAAACGTTCCAATCCAAAGCGCAAACGATCCAAAGGAGTGTATACGAGTATCTTTCTTGATCTCTTTTTTAGAATTCTTTTTTTTTTTTCATTACTTTTTTTCTTCTTTCAATTTCCTCAACTTGCAGCACTATTTTGCACAAGTGAAGCAGTAGCATTTTGTTGACGTCTTTTAAGACCAGCGAAGGGTATTTAGATCCTAGCGCTCTGAACATAGACATTAAATCACGCTTCTTACTATTCAAGTTTCACGTATTTCGCAGTTATATTCTTTGCACTATATCCTGCGTAAATTATCCTTTCAGTAAACTTGTACAACAGCTGTTAATAAATATGTATATAAATTTAGATTTCCATTCTTTCTGCTTATATATCGACTATTTTTCAAGTGAATATATGCGAAATAATCCACTATTACTGTTTAGAGCATCACCTCTTTACCACCTTACCTGAGAGAGTATGATCTCCTCCTAGAATGGATGCTGATTTGATCTTTCATTTATCAAGAGATAATTTATAAACAGGTTGAATAATGACCGCTGTCATTCAATCATGATTGATAATTACGCCGGTTGCTCTGCTAAAAATAATGACTAAATTTAACAATTAGACAAAATTCCGTGGAAACACATGCAAGATTATTATTCAATTTACATCAGATTCCAAGGTCACGTTTTAGTCAACTGATACAGCATAGTTTGTCATTACTTTTTGAATAGAGTCATTTTCATCCGTCTGTGAAAAAGCCCACAATTATTGTCCATTAAAAGTACTTGACAATGAGGACAGTATGACCTCGAAACGTCGTAAAAATCACTTGTTGTCTTTATCGTTTATTTTACTACTGATTTCAAAACCACTTTTGATTAAGAAATAGGAATTGTACTATTAAATACTATTACCCCCTATTAGCTCACAATAGTTTGACTTATGACATGCGACAAACAAATTAGGCAAACACGGTTTTGATTTTGCCTTTTGGTAGCCTACTGCACCCTAATAGTTACTATTAAACACTGACTAGTAGTAATTGTTTCACAGACGGATGAAAATTACTCTACTGTAAAAAAATTGCGTTCTGCTTCTAGTTAATTTTTTTTTTCAGGAGAAATCAAATCCGAAATGATTTTTTTTTTTATTTCATGAAATTGTGAATGTGAATAACGTCACCAGTTGCAAAGCTAGCATTTCATCTTAAAACATGTAAGACTGGTCATGAATGACTAACATTATTGGAAATAGGCCTCTAGTTCCAGGCATTATGGCAAAAGATATGTTTTGACAATGAGAGAGATCAGACAGAAAAACTATAAAATGTATGTTTTCTTATGTTTAAAAAACTGTTTCCACTAGCCTTATTAAGGCCGAGAGCAAAACAACATGCAGCACAATCAAAACAATTTGATGAATATCGCTCTTATTTTTTATTGACGGTTTTAGAAACAACAAAGTTACAACAAAATACTACGTTTGCTTTAAAAATTAARGTTAATTAGTTTACACAATCGCCAGTGTAGACAATATATGATCACGAGTTCGCGAATTTATGATTGAAGCCCAGCCTTACATCAATAGGTTTAWGACTTGATGGTAAGCGGTGTCTTACTCTTTGATGAAGCAGTTGTTTTACCAGTTTATGCAGTTTTTTCACTTCTTGGTTACTTATCTTGAATAATTCAATGGTTTTGTTAAGAAGCGKTGAAGACTCGATGCGAGGGATCCTTTGAAGTTTTGAAGTGCTGAAATCTGGAATGATAATAACACTGTTACTAAAAARTATTTATGAAAGATGAAAGTCAAAACAAAATCTCTACCATTACAATCGGAMAGTGCAGAACAAAAGAGCTTGATTAGTGGACAGTTCATCCAACATGTTTGATGATTTATACAACAACATTTCAAGGTGGCCAAATGGCAAAAACAATATTGATTCAACTTATATCTTTACATCTTTAAATCATGCTTACGTCTTAGTCTTCGTTCAATGTTTCGGACTTGCTGGTTGGCAATGGGGGCATACACAGCTCTTACACCGCCTGGTAATGCTAGATTGTTTATAAGAACTCCAGGACGAAGCGTTGTACCAGGCATATTTTCGTTTATTGTAGGGAAAAATGAAGTCCGATGGGCATTGCTTCTTCTTTGCCAATCCTCCCAGATCTATAAATCGAGAAAGTAACTCGAGAAATATCAGGCAGTATCGAAAGCAATGAATCAAAGCTAGTTATAATAATGCATTTWGATTTGCGGACGCTCTCGTGAGCGGACAGCTCTAAATATGGACATCTTTTCAATAAACGTTTTTTTTCTTTCTTCCATACAAACAATATATCCTCACTTTCTCATTGGTAGACAGATCTACTAACGGACATTTTTTTCGTTTCCAATGCAAATGATGTTCTCTTTCGGGAGACTAGACGTATTTAAATAAATATTACAGCRTTTATATAATATTAATGAAGGAGAAATACGTAGAATAAAGAAAACGTATATTATGCKTGACCAAAGGACCCATGACTTTTCAGTTTGCAAAGCTATACAGATTTGCCTTACGATATCCGTTATCAAAAATCGAATGTCGAGGTCGTACCTTATCGATGAAACCGTGGTGCAAAAAGAACTCTGGAGCCGAGGCTGAATCTTGGTTACACATGGTACCACCAATCAAACAATGCACATTGTCATGGAACTGTACTCTCAATAAACGTTCAAAGTCAGCAAACCTTGAAGGATTTGTATTTAGAAGAAGGGCCACATCGACAGCAGTGGGAGGATTTCTACTAAAATCTCTTCTCAGGCATCTAGGACCATCAACGGATGGAATTAGCTGCCAAATTTGTTCTCTGAAAGGACCATTTCGAACGCATTGTCTTGGTTGAACCCCATTCCCTCCATAGCCACTATTTCCTGAAAACCAGAGATCTCTTGATGATGTTCCCCAAGGCCGTCCTGCTACAACTGACCAGTCCCAGTACGACACGGTAAATCTGCAGTCGACTTGTCGAAGCAAATTTTCGTACTGAACGATAAACCAACGATGCCATGGAAGGAAATGATTGACACCATGAATCCCAGTGTTAAATATGTTTCGATGTAAAGTTAGAAGACGATCATAGCGGTTCTTGTATCTATCGATAGGATATGGATATATATTATTTATATGTATTATATTTATTTATACAGCCTTTTGCACAAATTATGAGACATTTTTATATATATAAATATACCTAACCAAATATCAAAAACACCCCAGAAATTATGGTATATCTCTATTATATTTTGCCATGATTGCATAGCATCAGGTTGTTTCAGACAAAATATCAGCGACGGTATCCCATAATTTCTTGGGTGTTTTTGATATTTGGTTAGGTATATTTATATATATAAAAATGTCTCAGAATTTGTGCAAAAGGCTGTACGTATTTAATATCCGTTTTTTGTACATTTACCCTAAAAATAGGGGTGCCTAGCCCCCTAATCAACCATCTCTGGATCCGCCCTTCTTTTCACATTACTCACACCTACCTTCGGTCTGTTGAAGCTGTTTTTATAGTGTTTATATAACGCGTTCGCTCTGCTGCTGACATGGATGTAAATTCTCGCCTTATTCTTGTGCATTGTGTTAGTGTACCCCTTGATGAACAGATGCATCGTTGCCCACATCTATCAAAAACGCTCTGCCCACCTCTGCAGCCTAAATTAGGAACACGTAGTCAATCTATGCACCCGAGGGAGTACTCCAGTGGTAAAAGTATCGGTCATGCTCGTCGGATCTCTTAGGGATAACAATTCGTGATTGGGAATCTTTTTAAATTTTCATTTGGAGTTTCTGGAAATTTGCATTTTTAATCATTGGAACTGATTTAACTTAGGGAATAACCGTCCAGGGTCTATTCAAAGCTACCTGAAACTCTTTATCAGTGAACTGCACAAATCAAATAGCAGTGGTCAAAATACCTACAATATCTAACTAATGTGCACTGGACAACRCCATTACACGGCAGGGTTACCAAACACTGTTTAATGGTGTTTGGATCGAAACTATTTCTTGTGTTCTTGCTTATACAAGGCTTTAGATTAGTTATTCTGCATAAAAGATTTACTGGACATGCTTTGTAAAATGGTATAAATGTCTGTCAGACTTTAAACTTTTGGAGAAGATCTCAAATGAGGAGGTCAGAGAGGCAGAAATAGAAAAGATCAGCAACGAAATTAGACGCAGAAGATGGAACGTGATCGAGCATATCCTAAAAGGGGAAAGTGAAAATGACTGGTTGATAGCTCTGGAATGGACACCGGAAGGAAGAAGAGCAAGGGGAAGACCAAAGACTACTTGGAGAACAACGGTGCTGAAAGAAAGGGACAACACAAGTTGGAAGACTTGGAATGAAGCCAAAATGACAGGAAGAGGTAGAGATGACTGGGAAAAGGGGGTGAATGGCGCGAAGGGATATGGTGATGATGATGATGAATCTTTCAACTTAGAGATGTTTTTAACTCTGTGACTAGGTTTCTAAAAACTAATCCTAGCCTTATTCTTTAAAATCACACTTGTTTGGAAACCTGTTTTACTTACGACATGAATTTGTTGAGCACCGTCGTCTTTGCGAGTTTGATCCTCGGCATGTTCGTCCGCCATGAGATGGAGGGGGATTATTACAAGTACGRGTTCTYGACTGAACACCACCTCCACATGTAACAGAACAACGTCTCCACCTTCCCCATCGAGACCATTCACCGTGGACGGGACCACATGCATTTGTTGAGCACCTTCGTGTTTGTGAGTTCGATCCTTGGCATCTTCGCCCTCCATGAGAAGGAGGGGGATTGTTACAAGCACGGCGTCTTAACTGGACACCACCTCCACATGTAACAGAACAACGTCTCCACCTTCCCCATCCTCCCCATTGGCCGTGAACGGGCTCTGAAATTGAAGACATATATGAACCCAAACTTTTTCTCTAAACACCTGAATACCAAAACGTGCTCATAAATAAACTAAAAAGCAAATGAGCAATAAAACAGTTTCAGCTKCAGTTCAAACAAAATTGAAGTGAGCAGTATCGACTCACCACTTCGGCATGGCCGTGTGTTACAATCTGAAGTTTGCCATAGACCATCATCAATGCAATGTACAYTGTTCCAGTCAAAGCATTCTCTTTCTCGCCATCGATACCCACCACCACAAGATACCGAACAAGGGGACCATGCTCCCCAAGGAGTGAAAGTATTTTCTGTAAGTATGAAACATGGTTTAAGTTTTTTTCGCTAGTAAACATTACATTAACATAAGTCAAACGTTTACAAGTATTACTGCTGTGTTCGATATGTTGTTGCAGTTTCAGGAACCGWCGGGGACTGTTCTTCTAAATAACTGTTCTTGTACGGATTTTGTAATGGGAAAGGGATTTTGAGCTACATTGTTGACAATCTCACAAGCAAATGTGGCGCACTTCCTTCTTTAAAATAATTTTAGTCCTGACAAACGTTTTTAAGGTCAAAAAAGGCTTATATAACGTTGTCACTGTCAAAAATGACCTTTATTTTTTAGTTACGAAATTTTTATTTTCCAGGCAAAACTTCTTAGAAAGTATTCCTTGCCTGGGRAGTTCGACTTTTGTCCTGAATTACTCGCTGGCAACCAGTTGTGACTTACAGCTGGTTGGGACATATGAGATAGAACAGATATATTTCCCCCAGGAAGCCATCGGCTCCTCCTACAGTTTGAATGTGTGGGCTTGGCAGCACTTMATTATTCGATGCCGTGCTTTGCCTCTCGGCTTGACGATAGAAATATCTTCTTGGAGAAACTTAATTCCAGTCTCAATTTTTTTTTGCAGTAACTGAATGTAATTGTTTTGCGGAAAGAACATCACAGATGCTTTATTTTTGTATTATTTCATTTATTTATTTGAAAATTGTTGGTCGCTGGTATCTTTCATTACTTACGAAACCACATCCAGATTGTCATTTTACGAGTTTAGCCGCTAAGATTTTACGAGCATATGTTCGAGGAAGCGTGTTCGTATGTTCATATAAAAAACCTGTGCAATATGTTGGTTGAAAAGCGATATTGAATAATAATTATTTTTCTGACTAGTATTTTAGCGTGACAATTAACTAATGTTTTGTGTGAAACCGGATATTCAGTCGGAATACTGGGAGAAAACCATAATTAGCATCATTTACAGGGGCTTATTTCTTCTCCAAAGGGAATCCATCAATATGGTTCAGTCTATATAAATATTGTAAATATATTGTTTTTTTTACAGGACATGAACTTTTAATGTTGTGCGTGATAAATTAAAAACTATTATAAATTATTGTTATTGGCATATAGACTGAACCATATTGAGCTTGTCTCGTGGTCTGAGTCCACTGTGCGTCAATCTAAATAAAGTTGTAATGAATGCCAATGTCAGTGTCCAAAATTCTGTAAATTTGATGTAAATGTTTTGCATTAAATTCACAGAATTTTGGACACTTACATCATATTTACATCAAATTTACAACCTTTAAACCACGCGATTTTTTCCAGTGATTTTCGTTTCAGATACGACTCAGTCGTATATGAAGTCCTGTGATGTTTCTTTTGAAAGTTTGAGCTTGAAAACTGGTTAATAAACCTTCATCTGCACCAATCGTTTGTTTTCTTGGTACCTATCGTGTTATTAATCTATTAACAGTGTTTCTACTAGTGCTATCTTACATACCTTGCCCTGAGATATTTTGACTGCACAAGATCACAACGAACACCGCAAAAATTCCATTGAACTTCATCGCGAGTATTTCTGAAAAAAAACTTTCGCAAAACGGTGAATGGATACAGTTTCCATTCATTCAAAATAAATAACCTTTATGTAATATATGTGTAAAGAGAAACTGAAAAAATTARAACAGCAACAATACGTGTTGAAAGCTGAAAAGCAGAACGATTGATTTTAATCCARGTAAGCCTAATTCGGTAATTGTAGTGAAAATGTTTCTTCTTCTAGTTTTAAAACTCGTTTTAAATAAGTAGTTCATGGAAAAAATTCACATTTTTGTTCCTGAAAAGCGMTGATAATCCTGGCAATACTATTGAGCGTTTTTATGCTAAGTGGACTCGATTTAGTAGATACATGTGCCTTATTATCGAAAAAAAGAAGCAAAAATGGAAAACGTATACCTTCTCAACAGCTCCTTTGAACATTTAAACGTGCTGGGTATAAATGTCAGAAACTGAAACTGGGCGCAGTTGGCAGTACGCTGCTTTCTTTATATAGCCAAGCATTTAAAAATAATTTAGTAAACTATTTTTATTTTAATATTTTTCATTATATCATTTGTGTTCCGCTTTTTTAACACTCAATGAGCCTTCCTAAAGTGTTTTGCCTTCGTTTCATTGCACTAAAAAAACATTAAAATCGATTCCTTTTTTAGTAAAAAAATGCATTTTTGAATACTTTAGCTTTTATTATTAGTTTTTGGTGCTAGAAAATAGTTTTTACACTCTCATATCTATTAGAAATAATATGCTTTAAAAAGATTATTAGTCATGATGGATTCAGCTTGTATTGGTTGTGCAATCTACACGCCAGAGCGTTTCAGATCAATTCAGCATTTGATAGAAAAGAATATAATTTATCATTGTGTAATATTCGACGCGTTTTTCATTGTCAAACTTTCCATTCCATCTTCATTAAGAAGTAAACAATTAGACCTTCTTTCAAGACTCTACTAGAAATTATACAGTAAAGAATTTTGGTTGGAACCGGTTTCCAATGTGAAGCTCCCCCCTTAAGAAATTAAGCTCCAATACGCGACTTTTTGCACGTTTTCCGAATGTCATCCGTTCCTGTACATATTAAAACAGAACTATATTTATATTTTCCTTGAAGGTCATTAATTGTATTGTTATGCAGAAATTTCTTAAATCGAATAAATCTTCGATTATCTATCTATCTATCTATCTATCTATCTATCTATCTATCTATCTATCTATCTATCTATCTATCTATCTATCTATCTATCT